TGAATGATGGCGATTTTGACTGGTGTGAGCTGATACCTCATTGTAGTTTTAATTTGCATTTCTCTGATAATTAGCCATATTGAGCATTTTTTCATATGCCTGTTGGCCATTTGTATGTCTTCACTGGAGAATTGCATGTTTAGATCTTCTGCCCATGTTTGGATTGGGTTCTTTGGTTTTTTGTTACTAAGTTGTATGAGCTATTTATTCTGGAAATTAAGCCTTTGGCAATCGCATCATTTGCAAATATTTTCTCCCATTCTGTAGGTTGTCATTTTGTTTTGCTTATGGTTTCCTTTGCTATGCAAAAGCTTATGAGTTTAAGTAGGTTCCATTTATTTATTTTTGCTTTTATTTCTATTGCCGGGGTAGACTGCCGTAGGAGAACATTGCTGAGATCAATGTCAGGGAATGTTTTCTAAGAGGTTTATAGTGACTTGTCTTGTGTTTGTCTTTAAGCCATTTTGAGTTTATCTTTGTGTATGGTATGAGGGGGTATTCTAAATTCATTGATTTACATGCAGCTGTCCAGTTACCTTGACACTATTTGCTGAAGAGACTGTCTTTATTCCATTGTATGTTCTTGCCTCCTTTGTCAAAGATTAATTGACCAAAAGTGTGTGGTTTTATTTCTGGGCTCTCTGTTCTGTTCCATTGATCCATATCTGTTTTTGTACCAGTACTGTGCTGTTTTGATTACTGTAGCTGTGTAGTATTGTCTGAAGTCTGGGTGGGTTATTCCTCCAGCTTCATTCTTTTTCTTTAGTAATGCTTTGGCAATTTTGGGTCTTTTGTGAGTCCTTATAAATTTTAGGATCGTTTGTTCTAGTTCTGTGAAAAATGTCCTGAGTAATTTGATAGTAATTGCATTAGATCTGTAGATTGCTTTGGGTAGTATGGTCATTGTAACAATATTAATTCTTTCAATCCAAGAACATGGGATATTTTTCCATTTCTTTAAGTCATCTTTAATTTCTTTAGTTCAGTGTTTTAAAATTCTCTGTGTGTAATTATTTCACTTCTTTGGTCAGATTTGTTCCTAAGTATTTTTTTTTGGATTCAATTTTAAAAAAGATTGTTTCTTTCCTTTTCTGATATTTCATTGTTAGTGTGAAGAAATGCAGCTGATTTCTGTATGTTAATCTTGTATCCTGCTAACTTGATGAATTCTTTTACTGGCTCTAGTAGTTTTTGTGTGGCGCTGTTAGGGTTTTCTATACACAGTATCATGTCTTCCACATATAATGACAATTTTGCCTCTTCTCTTCCAGTATGGATCCCTTTTATTTCTTTTTCTTGCCTAATTGCTATGGCTAGGACTTCCAGTACTTTGTTGAATATAATTGGTGAGAGTGGGCATCCTTGTTCAGATTTTAACAAGAAGGCTTTCATCTTTTCACTGTTGAATATTATACTGGCTGTAGGTTTGTCATAAATAGCTTTTATGATGTTGAGGTATGTTCCCTCTATACCCACTTTGGTTAAGAGTTTTTATCATAAATGGGTGTTTAAATTTATCAAATGCTTTTTCTGCATCTATTGAGATGATCATGTGATTTTTGTCCTTTCTCTTGTTGATGTGGTGTATCATGTTAGTTGATTTGTGTATGTTGAACCATCCTTGTGTCCCTGGGATGAACCCAATTTAATCATAGTATATAATCTTATGTGTTGTTGGATTCTGTTTGCTAATATTTTGTTGAGGATTTTTGCATCTATGTTCATTAATGATATTGGCCTATAGTTTTCTTTTTTGGTAGTGTCTTTGTCTGGCTTTGGTATCAGGGTGATGGTGGCTTCATAGAATGAATTTGGGAGAATTCCCTCCTCTTCAGTCTTTTGGAAGAGTTTGAAAAGTATTAGTATGAGCTTTTCTTTGTATGTTTGATAGGATTCCCCAGTGAAGCCATTTGGTCCTAGACTTTTGTTTGCAGGGAGGTTTTTATTCCTGATTCTATTTCACTTCTAGTGATTGATCTGTTCAAATAATGTATTTTTTCTTGATTCCATTTTGGTGGACTGTATGTTTCTAGAAACTTGTCCATTTCTTCTAAGTTGTCCAATTTATTGCCATATAATTGTTTGAAATACTGGATTGTTTTGACTTTGTCTCCTATATAAGAGCCTTTGAGTGAAAGTGAGAAGTCAGATTAAAAAATTTGATAATTAATCTGGCAGTGCTTTGAGGAGTAGACCAGAGAGAGAAAACATTGGAAGCAAGGATAACAGAAAGTTTTGTTAGTCTAGTTATGAGGTGATATGAGCCTGACGTTTTGTGGTTAAGTAGGAATGGAGAGAATTGAATGCATTTTAAAGAAAGAGGATTTGGTGTTTATACATGGGGAGTTGAGAGAGAAAGCAGAGAAGGCTTTGTGGTTGTAAATGTGGTTGAATGGTAGCATAATATTGGTATCAATGCCAGAAGCTAGATAGTAAGGAGGTTGAAGGTAGATTGAAAGCAAGGTGAGCAATTTGGTTTAAGATAATTTGAACATAGGGTGATAGTAGAATTGTTCGTTATCTGAAAAAAAATCTAATTATTAAAAAGAAAATTTAACAATAAAATGTTGGAAATGTAAGTTTTCCTGTTAGAGAGTCCCCCCATTATTATTTCCCCGGACGTTAACCACTATTCTCAACTTGGTGTACCACTGTCTGACTCTTTATGTGTATATAAACGTATGGGTGTGTGTATCTGTCATTCATACTCTCCATCATGCTGTGGGGGCACTGGGGACAGATTTAACTTACCCTTTTTAATGCATATCAATGTACCTTTATGTGTGGAAGTTTAGGTTATTTCTGATTTTTAAATTTTTTTTATTAAAAAGGTCACAAAGAAAATTCTTTTTAAAAAAATGTACATGTACTGATTTCTTTTTTTGAAGTTTAGTTACTTTTTTTTTTTTTTGGGGGGGAAGTAATTAGGTTTATTTATTTATTTTTAAATTAGAGGTACCGGGGAATGAACAAACCTCTTGCATGCTAGGCACACACTCTACGACTGAGATATACCCTCCCCACCACCAAAAATTCTATGTGGTAATACTTTTGGGTATTCATTCAGCTATCTTCATAGAATGAATTCCTAGGATTGGGCCAGGGGATGAGCAGATTTATCGTCTTGATACAGGTAACTTTCCAGAAAGCTTAGTATTGATATGTGTGTGTGTGTGTGTGCATGCGTGCACACATGTGAGTGCAGATTAACATGATTTTTTTTGTGTGGATAGGGGTAAGGTATATTATTCATTTGGATGTGGTACCTACTGGTGATGTGTGGTAGTATATTCTAGCTTTATAAGTCATTAAAATTAACATATAGAAGGTAATGAAATTGCAAACATCATCTTGGAACAGGAGAAACCCTCTTAGTTTGGGAAAGTAACATTGCACAGGAACTAGAATTGGAGGTGTAGTGACGATGGTGGTTATTGGGAAAGAAATATTCGGAAACTTTTGAATTCCTGGAGAGTACTTCGAGTAGATATTTCAGTGCTCAAAGGAAAGGAGATAAATCATTTTAACTTTATTTTCTAGAAATCTTTAAGTGTTTGTGTATTTTATTTCCTTGAGGACTTAACTTCCATTTTAAGGTTAGGGTCAGTGAAAATATTTGCTGTCAACCTAACTGGAATATGGAAGAAAAGTACTCATTTTAGCTTGGAAATCTTTCACTGGTAGTAGGACTACATGGTTGCTCTTTATTTTTCCAATGCAGTTTCTTTCAGCTAATTAAAGTGAAAACCTTTATAATGCTTTTTGGTGATATTATTAGCAAGCATGAAATAGGTTTATTGTGTGTTTCTATTTCTTAAAGATTAATTTGGATCAAAGAGCAGAATCAAAATTACATGCCAATTTTATGATCCAATTTATTAACTACATACCAAATATATGCTCTAGACAGAATAATGTTGTGGCTGTGGCATTTGCAAAGGTTGAATCCCTATACACATTTAACCTAAGAATAAGGAGTGAGTGTCCTTAAAGGACTTTCCCCGCCTCTTTTAAAATAGGCAAAGCAGGAAACCAAAGCAAGTCCAATTTTAGTTTAATGAAAGTCTTTTTAAGTAATATGTAGACATCACATTAATTTATCAGAAATGGTGTATTCAGTCAAGACTCAGTAATTTAATGGTTGGTTTGTGTAGGCTAAAGATCATCTCTTGTAGTAAAAAAAAAAAAGTAATTAATACTCACCCATGACTAAGGGAGACACCGTTGGGAAAAAATGTATATAATAGTCCTGAGAAAGATTAATGAAGTTAAAAAGGTCAGAAATATTTTGATTAAAATTTTTGTTTGTAATTATTTACAGTAAGTACACTTGTCTTTTTTTTTTTTTAACTTCTGGATATGCAAACATTTAGTTACTTCCATAATTTTGGATCAGTGCTTTTGGAGATAGCTGAGGTGATTTAGTTTCCTGTTCTTATTAGCACAGTGCATAGATGATCAATATTTATGTGTTGACTGATTTCTCCTCTGAATCTGCAGCCTAAGTGCAGTTCACCTTGTGTCAAATAAAAGACCCTCTGTAGCATTGATCACAGACATAATTGCTTGCTGAAGGTCATGTTTGTGAAGACTGTGATTCTCCCCAGCCACTTGTCAAGTTCCAAATAGCTTTTCCCCTGATTTCAGAGTATGGATTTTGTATCAGAATCCAAGTGTGAAGTTTACCTTGGTATCTTCAAGAAACAAACATTCATGGTTTATGAATCCAGGAGTACCTAAACTGGAAGAGTCAGTACTTGTCAGTACTTCTAGTTAGGTTAATGCTTGAAGATGTGACCTTGATGGTCACAGAAACTTTGCATGGAAGTAAGGAAAATTTAAAGTATGATTCAACTTTATTCTTGAATTTTGTTTTTGCACAATTGAAAATCTGAAAACTGAGTTTTGTTATAAAATGACAAGGAGAATAATAAATGATAAAAATATATATAACCTGAAGGAGTTCAGTGATCACTAATTAAGTGTATTTCTTTCTGCAGGTATAATTTGGCCTCCTGAGATTCTGTCTTAGCAAGAAGGAAGTGGAAAATACTCTTGGAAAGAAAACTAAGACAATAAGGAAGCCAGAACTTACTTTTACATGGTTGTCAGCTCATTTACCAATATGGACACTTTTCCCACCATTTTTCCTCCCGGTGGAGACAGTGGGCTGACAAGTTCTCAATCTGAGTTCCAAAAAATGTTAATTGATGAACGATTACGATGTGAGCATCATAAAACTAATTATCAGACTCTGAAAACTGAACACACAAGGTAAATTACTTAAATTTACAGCGGAGAGTTTTGATTAAAAATTTTTATTTTGTCTGAATATTTACCTTGAAACATATGGAGTAATTTTGTTATTTTGCAGTATACAGTATACATTTAAACCTTTTTTAATATAGTAATTTTTTTTGTTTTAAATCAAGGTTGTAAATTTATTTAAGTCTTATCTTGAAAGTAGCAAGACATGAAATTCAGTGTGTTCCCCCCCCAATGTAAAACTGCATTCAGAGATTGCAGTGTTAATAATTAAATAGAACTCTGTAAAGCAAAGATATTTGCAAGTTTAATAGAATATATGATATTGGTCTTGTTCTGTAGTGTTGGTTGACTTTACATAAAGTAATACAATTAGAAAGCAAAGGATACGTTTAAAATTGAATTCTTCTTTTTCTAAAAATCAGGTTGCAAGATGAATACATAAAGTTACAGAATGAACTCAAGCGCCTGTTAAATGAAAAGCAAACTCACCAGGAAAAATTTCAGCAGCTGCTTGAAGAGCTAAGAGGTGAATTAGTAGAGAAAACTAAAGTCTTGGAAGAAATGAAGCTGCAGGTAAGATAAATTTGAGTTAGTATAAAAGTAATCAGATGTTTAGCATAAGTAAGTAGTTTTGGTAAATTCTCTCTATATTCTTAGTGAGTATTTTGTTGTATATACAGGTGGTGTAATTTAGTCTTCTTTCATATACTCTAGAATGTTAGCTATCATGTAGGGTTAGCTATAAAACTTATTTTATGTATATTTATATTATACTTTCTGTTCTGATTTAAATATAATCTTGCTCTTCAGAATAATTGGAGAAAAGGCCAGTTTGAATTGATAAAAACTTAAAATTTAAAAAAAATCCTTTCTAAAAATAAAGATTTACTTATTTTCCTTTAAGTATTATAATGGAAACTGAGCTAAAAATGAATAATAAGGAACTTCTTAAAAGACACTGTAAAAACAATGTGTGCACATAATTTGTGTGCACAATATAAGGTAAATGAAGTTTCTAAAGCAACAAATAGTTGGTACTAAGGTACTGACTGCATTTTGTTTAGATATTTTTCACACTATTCATTTTCCATTTGCCTAGAAAGTAGCACAAAGCTTAACTTGAGCACCAGTCAAACTAACTATACATTTCAAATTAGTAGGTGTTAGTAGTGATATTTTCTTATTGCCTCTAGGTAGCACCCACTGTGTACTTCTACTTATCTAGTGCTTGCTACAGTAAGGTATTAATACTGGAGTCATGGGTTGGTAGAATAAAAAGCCATCTTTCAGGTCATCCAATATGGCATATCGCTCAATTCATGGATTCCTTAGACAGCAGTGTTGTAAGTTTTTCACAGTATCTTCTCGAAATCTTCCTCTGTTGGGAATATCACCACTAGGCTTGGGTTGGAACCTCTACTGTACTTACTGTTTCATTCCTAGGTATACATGTTTAGGACATTTCAGCAAATAAAAACCTCAGAAGTGTGAGTTGAAGAGGGAAATGTAACTTAAACGAAGTGATGGATTAATTTGTTTTGCAAAAATTGAGAGGCCTGTATGAATGAAATCTGTGTGCACTGAACCCAAGGTCTTAAAAGTATTCTTCAGGCACTGAGGATATAATTACTCTGTTTCATGAGAGTAGTATGTAGACATGCTTATTTGTAACAACGTGCAAACAGTAAGCTTAAGAAGACTGGAGTGGCTGTATTAATATCAGATAAAATAGACTCCAAGACAAGAGTATCTCTTAAGGTAACAAGAATATTTTTATAACCCAAAAAAGGGTCAGTTCACCAGGGATAAAATGACCTTCAACAAATAATTATATTTCTGTGTCTTAATTTTCTTATGTGGTAAAAGGCATAAGAGTTGTTACCTAACAGGGTTTTTGTGAGGACTAATGAGATAATGATAACTTGTATATTTTTAGTAGTGTTTGGCACTTAGTAGATACTCATTAATAATGGCAGTTTTTATTCTATTTGAGTACAGGCTCTGTGAGGGCAGGAACTTCTTTTTAGTGTGTCTCCAGGATGACACCTTGCAAATATCTGTTAAGTGAATGACATAAATAAATAGAATAAATGAATGAGTCAGAATTGTTCTGTTTGTATATAATATGTTGCACTTCTTGTCTCATATGTAGCCTTAGCACCTTAGAGTTGTTAATCATCTAGTTCTCTTTCATATCTGTTATGAAACATACCAAGATAAGTTGAAGTTCTAACTCCAGTAGCTCAGAATGTGACCTTATTTGGAAATAGGATTTTGCCAGTGTAATTAATTAGGTTAAGATGAGGTCATACTGAAGTATGATGGGCCCTTAATCCAGTATGGCTGATGTCCCTAGAAGAAGAGAACAGACTTAGAGACAGAAACACATGGGTGAGGGGTGTGTAGGGGGTAGGGGCGGAAAGAACATCTTGTGGTGACAAAAGCAGAGACTGAAGTGCTGCATCTGCCAGGGAACACCAGGGATTGCCAGCACATCACTAGAAGCTCGGACAAGGCAAGGAAGGATTCTTCCATATGATTTTCAGAGGGAGCACGGCCTAGCTGACACCTTGATTTTGGACATCTAGCTTCCAGAATTGTGAGACAATAAATTTCTGTTTTTTTTTAGCCACTCAGTTTGTGGTATTTTTCATGGCAAATCTAGAAAACTGGTAACACCATCCAAAGCAGAATTCCTGTTTGGAACATCTGTGGCACAGAGCTCTTCATTCTCTGCGTCAGTGCTTTCAGTGCTAGAGAACATAGTGAACTTGCAGAGTGACCCACCTCCGTTTATGGATTGGAGTATATTAAGCATTTTCTCTCTCATAGTGAAATGAAATAATTCTCCCCGTTAGCCTCCGTTTGGTTCTTGTACTGTTCCTTGGACCTATGTAAAGGAACTTTGGACATTTCTCCATGTGATAACTTCACAGATGTTTGCTTACAGATACAGTTTGTCTGGTAAAGTTTCTCTTTTTCAAGATTAACATGTCTGATTTCTGTGCGATATTTACCTGGAAAAAATAACTGAAAGAAACAGCTCTACATACATAACACATATTGAAGCAATTTAGCTATTTGCTTTAATGGATGCTTGCAATTTGTACAAATTGTAGTTAAGTAAATTCAACAAAGTAAAATCCGGGAGAAATACTTTGATGAAGGTTTTATGAAAGGTGATTATTTTTAAAATACACATGTATTATATTGTCTACATGCAAAATGCCTTTTCTGAGTTAAGATTTAATATCCCTTTGGCTTTTATAGAAACAGCAATATAAAACATCCATCTGAAGAAGATTTCTGTGTCATTTGTGTAGTGGTAGTGAATAGGAATAATAATAGTGCCTAGCTCATAGGGTGATTGTAAAGATGCAATGAGAATGCATAGAAAGTGTTAGTACAGTGCTTTGATGTGGTGAGTGATTAGAATGTGTTAGTTGTTGTTATTGTATCGTCATTATGTAATATATTAGCAAAACCTTTTTTAAAAATATGGGATCTGTTTTATAGATTTCTGACAAAAATTTTTAAAAATTACTTTACCAAAAATGTATGTACTTTCTTTGTGCCAGGCAACAAAATCTATGTAATCCAGTATGTTTCCCATTTATTTATCTAGGAAGCTCAGAGCAAAATTTACTACTCGGTCAATTTTTTAAGAATCTCTGGCACTGCAATATTTGCCCTCTTAAATTAAAACATTCTTTGGAAAATATTGGTCTATTTTGTATTAATATGATAAATCTTGTAGTGCTAATATGACTTACTTTTATAGATTTAATATAGGTAATGACACATAGACAGTTACATGATAAAACATTTTTTTAAGCTTCTTTTGAGACAAATAGTGGCAGTATTCCATTAGAAGTCTGAGACACAGCATAACTTCCTCCTAAGATGGCGCTGGGATAATCCTCTGATTCTATTCCTTTAGTGTATGTTGGCTTTGAGGGAGAGGGGAGGAAAATAGTTTTTTTATGTGTGCTTGTTTTTAATAAAATTCTTATGAGATAAGAGTCTCTAATCATAAGATTTTTTTTGTTATCAGAGACCTCATAAGTCACAAGTCTCCTGTGTAGTTACCAATTCCAGTGTTGTTTTTTCCCTTTGTGTAGATCCGTATTTCCATCAGTATCATTTTCCTACCATCTTAAGATTTTAACATTTCTTATAGTGCAGAAATACTGGTGAGAAATTTTTTCAGCTTTTATAAAAGAAATTATTTAAAGATATTTTTGCTGAGTATTAAATTCTAGATTGACAGTTTTTTCCCCTAATACTTAAAGATGTTGCTCTTTTGTTTCACATATTTGCTGTCATCCTTATCTTTGTTCTGTTTTTGCAGTGTCTTTTTTTCTTGGCAGCTTTTAAGGTTTTTTCTTTATTGCAGCTTTTCAGCAATTTGATTGACATGCCTTGGTACTTTTCTTCATGTTTCTGGTGCTTGGGATTTATTGAGCTTCTTGGGTGTCTGGGTTTATAGTTTTCATCAAATTTAGAAAATTTTTAGATACTACTTCTCAAAACATTTTTTTTTTTTTGCCTCCTATTTTATCTCCTTCAGGGAGTCAGCTATTAGGCCACTTAAAGTTCTCCGATAGCTCATTGATGTTCTGTTAATTTTATTTTTATTTGTTGTAATGGAGGTACTGGGGATTGAACTCAGGACCTTGTACACATTAGGCATACACTCTACCACTGAGCTGTTGCCCCACCTCATTTGTTCATTTTTAATCTTTTTTGTCTCCTTGTTTCATTTTTGGTGGTTCCTGTTGTCATGTCTTCAAGTTCTTTGATCTTTTCTCCTGCAGTGTCTAATCTGCCATTAATCCAATAGTGCATTTTTCATCCCAGAAATTGTAGTATTTTTCCTGAAGTCCAATTTTGGTCTTTCTCATACTTTCCTTATGATGTTGAGTCTTTACTCTAGCTTTATATGGAATTCAGTTATAATTACTTTAATGTCTTTGGTAATTCTAGCATCTGTATCACTTCTGGGTTGGTGTTGATTGGTTTTCTTTCCATATTTACTGTGGGTAGTATTTTCAGGCTTTTCGTTCTGGTATATTAAAAAGTTATTTTTGTATTGAAGCTTCAGATGTACAGCAGCATGGTTCAACATCTATATACAGTACAGAGTGATCACCGCCACAAGTCTGGTTACCATCCATCACCATACAGTTGACCCCTTCATCAATTTTGCCCACCCCCAACCCTCTTCTCCACTGGTAACCACTAATCTGTTCTCTGTATCTATGTGTTTGTTCATTGGTATGTGTGTATGTTCAATTGCACATATGAATGAAATCGTATTGTATTTGTCTTTCTCCATCTATTTTACTTATTATAAAACCGTCAAGGTCCAACCATGTTGTCACAAATGGCAGGATTTCATTCTTTTATGACTAATATTCCATTGTGTGTATATACCACGTTCTATTTATCCATTCATCCATCACTGGATACTCAGGTTGTTTCCATATCTTTGACTATTGTAAATAATGCTGTAGTGAACATAGGGATTTGTATATATTTTTGAATTAGTGTTTTTGTATTCTTCAGATAAA